CCGCTGAACTATTCCTGCTGCAGCGCCTTCGTCATGCAGTGGCCTTTACAAGTGGACAATAATAATCATGTCGCGAGCAGCTGACAGAGTAGACGCCATTACAAAGTCATTAGAAATGCATGTCTCAAAATGCACCTTTTTCGACTCACAATCATGGTCTGAAAGTACTTACCACATAGAGCTCACTTTTGTCTTTGTCTATTGTGAGATTTCTCATGTTGAGCACGATCTTGTCTTCCGCTTCAACTACGTCAAGATCAATGTTGAGCTCGGCATCAAATGTGAAGTCCTTAGAGCTCGGGAAATCCACGTAAGAGGGCAGATAGGTTTGCATTTTTAGATCATAACCCACTGAAATTCGATACAAAAAAAATCAAAATCTATTGTACTTTCATTATTTGCAAACTCACGCGGTCTTATGGCCTTTGGCAAGCGCAGCTGAGCTGCCGTAGGTGAATGGTCCTCTTTTTTTTCATCTCCGTCAACGCTAAAATTACAGACTTACTTTGGTCTTAATTACAAAATGGCCAAAAGTCCAATACACTGTCATTTCGTCTTAAGTGTCATCTGTTCTACAATCTAAGGGTTGAGCCAGACGGCAACATACGTAGCGCACAGTCCGCATCCTCATGCACGTGTGAGTAAGCTATGTGCGTCGCGTGCACCGTACGCCGCGAATCTAGCCTTCCTATGTTGAACTCTTTCAGAGTATTCTTTAGCCGATTTACAATCCAAAATTCATGTTCACAAACTTAAAGATGGAGCCTTCAATCCCACCGCTTGCGCAACTTACAATTAGATTTTTCCTGTGCATGCATTATTTAGGGCTATTTTTCAAATTGCGTATGATTCATTGTAAGTTGCGTATGATTTCTTACTTAATTTTGTAGAAATCTTTAATCTAAGGGTGCTACGTGCTTTTTATGAGAGCACATTACATATTATGAATTTCCCATCATAATGGTCGCTCCTCAGGCATTATTTTTATATTTATTTGTTCCGTTAACACCAATGTATCATCATGTCATTAAGACATATCATTCCATACAGAATTTACGACATCAAATCAGAAGCTGAGCAGCATGGCTTATACGGAAATCGTAAAGACGCTGAAAATGCCGTTTCCAAATTTTATAAAAAACGCCTTTGTGATAATGTGTTTGATGAATAGTGTCAACAAACTTGGACGTGGACTTCGTTTACACATTAATAAGGTTATCATAAAAGTTTAGTATCGGACAGTTTTCCCTTTCTCTTCCACTGAACATTTGATTTTCGTTTATCAA